CAAGTTTGCTAAAAGTCTGACCCTCTTCCCCCCCCCCCATTCCTGATTGAAGATCACACCTGCTGCATAAATTCTTATACGATACATCTTGTGCCTAAATGTTACTTGTTCAACATTAATGAATGAAAACACCTGGTGCATTGACAACAAGGTATCAATGTTTATCATAGCCATTCATAAAAAAAGAAACATATTGTCTTTAGATGTAAAAGCCCGTAAGAATTACCCATATCTAGCCCACATTTGCCCTCAAACTCAAACCGACAGACTGGTAAAACTGTCTTTGATAAGAGTTGCGTGGCGGAACTGTCGCCTGAACCCCAGCCTCGACAACAGTACAGCGAAATGTTTTCTGATGATAAATTTAACAACATCATACCATTCTTACCTTTCGAGCAACTGCTGACCACTTAGTACTTCCCTCTCACTTCAGTAGGACTAAAAGACACGGCTTACATCTCGTGAGAGCACCGCCTTTACTGCCCAGGATCCTCCTCCGACATCCGTCAGAGATTGACGTGGCAGGACAGGCGCTTCTTTTCCACACCCATTTTCCAGCAAGCTCCACCTCCTTCGGACGAATGGGCGGGTCTAACTGCCTCTATGCAGTCCGTGAATAGACAGGCGAGCTGTCATTCATATAGTCGTAGCCAACAGTGAAACAGGGATCAGGTCAAGCGCGGGACTTGCTCACCAAGAAGTAAAAGTGCAACGGAAAAATACATTTTTTTCTTGTTTTTTTTTTAGCCTTTTCAAACAGTATCTGGGGTGAATTAACCTACGTTTTTCTTGTTGGAGTTTTCAATACATGTGCTTCTCCTAATTTCCATTAATTTAATTTAATAGAGTATTCAAATAGATTAGATTGGGATGAGCATATTGTACATTTTTAATATAGAATTTGCAGATTAAAATTATACTTACTTTGCTTGAATGTAAAAAACACGACTTTGAATAACCATGTCGTCAACGTTGGTTTGCCAATCCGCCAAAAAAATCGAGAGAAGAAGAAGAAGAAGAAGAAGAATAACGATGTCGTCATTTCCGGTATCATGGCCACCAAAACAGTGGCAGGATTTTGTCAACTCGGTCCAAAATTGGGTTTTATGGATCCGCTGTATCTTTGAGGCGCCATCTCGGCTTTTCGGATCTTTAAGATCCGACTATGGTGCCGCACTTCGCACCAATTTGGGCGTTTGTTTTAAAATATGGCATTTGAATCCATGTTCGTCAGCAGTTGGTAGTTAACGTTAGCTGTAAACGTTGGCATGCAGAAAATCACTATGCAAAGATCAGTTTAGAAAAAAAGTTTCTTAAAAGGGCAACTAATGGAGCAAACACTACTTATTATAAACCTGATAGTATTTAACTCCGATTATTACTGATATTACTCATGGCTTGTAGTTCTGGCTCCAATGCAAAAATGTCCAGTCCAAATGTCAGCACACTGGCGATGGCGGTGACACCAGACGCCGTGGATCAGAAGACAAGCCCGGTGGTATTTGAGATTTACGGAAAGATCTGGAACGTGCAGGCTCGTTTGGGCCAGGGCGTCTCGGCCTCAGTGTACCGGGTGAACTCCGGCCGGGCGAGCTCTGCAGTTAAGGAGTTCCAGGTGGACGCGCAGGGCGGAGATTACGGGTTCCTCAAGGAAAGCTCTGTGCTGGAGAAGATTCAGGGATATAAAAATATCGGTAAAACACACAGGGATCAAGACAAGCTAACAAATACAAAATTAAACCAATGGTTCTCAACCAGGGGGCCAGGGACCCCTCTGCAGACTTTCCCGAGGGCCCCAATATGTCTTAAAATTATTTAGTTATATTAGCATAATCTCAATTAAAATGTTATAAAAATAGAAGTGTACGACATAAAACTGACATCATATAGTTGAGTTTATTTACAACATTAGTATCAAAGGTACATATCAGCTTCAATATGGGGACAAATGTCAGAGTCAGAAAAGTTGAGAACCACTGATTTAAACAACTCTGTCATTTTATTGGTATTAAAATCATGCACAAAAAGTCATAATTTCTGTTGAATTGATGTTCAGTTCATTTTTGTCAACTATTGCATGACACAAAAACAACTTTCAAAAAATTCTGGACTATCATTATTTGGGTCCTTTCTACACCGTGACCGAAATTAGTAGTGCACTTTTTACTCTCTTCATTCACACAGAGCTGTAATCTAGATAAAGATTACAGCTATACATCTTAAAGTTTAATTGCCTGGTTCCATTTGTGTTATTTCAAATATACTTTCTACACAATTTGCCATAGCAATCATGAGTCCTGGAGATCCAAATGCTATTCCAGCATTATAACGTAAACGTTGGTATTTCCTCTCTAGTGACGCTGTATGGAATGTTCACCAATCACAACCCATTTGGTGTGGCCACTCATTGCCTGTTGTTGGAGCTTTTGGATGTGAGTGTGTCAGAATTGCTGGCCAGGGTGAGTAATCAGGGGCATTCCATGTGGTTGATTCAGCACTGTGCCCGTGACGTTTTGGAGGCCCTTAGCTTCCTGCACAGAGAGTGTTACGTACATGCTGACCTCAAGCCCCGCAACATTCTCTGGAGCGCCGATGACGAGTGCTTTAAGCTCATTGACTTCGGCCTTAGCTTTAAAGAGGGACACCAGGTGAGGAGTTGATATGGTTTGCCTGAGACACCCTATCATTTGCTGTCTGAATTTATTCACATACGCTACCGTTCAAAAAATTTGGGGTCTGTATAAATTTTTTTTTTATCAACTTTTTTGAATCTTTAGCCTTTTCATTACTCCACTTTTCAGTGTCTTGTGAACCTTATAAACCATTAATATGGCGATTATATATGAATCCTATATAAATCATTATAATATGCTGACCTCAAACTTTTAAATGGTAGTGTAGTATTAATGTGCCTCAGTATTTAAAAATAGGTTGGCAGTGAGCCTAAGGGTTCTTGTCTGTTTCTTACAGGATGTGAAGTACATCCAGACAGATGGATACCGGGCACCTGAAGCCGAGCTGCAGAACTCACTGGCCCAGGCAGGTCTGGAGAGCGACTCTGGCTGCACAACTGCTGTGGACCTGTGGAGTCTGGGAATCATTCTTCTAGAGATGTTCTCAGGAATCAAACTGAAAGAAACTGTGAAGTCTCAGGAATGGAAGGTCAGCTGATACCCAAGCAGCTGTGAAGCAGTACTCTACCTTGAATATGACCTTAAATCTTTAATGTTCTGTCAAATGTAAATCTTGAATTTGTGTCAATTTTCTCTTGAGTCTACTGTTGCTCATGTTATTTTGACCTCTTATGCTTGGTAAGACAGCATTGTGTTGTGTCTCTACAGGATAACAGTTCTGCAATAGTAGACCATATCTTTTCAAGCAATGCTGTGGTTTACCCGGCTATCCCTGTTTTTCATTTAAGGGATCTGATCAAAAGGTAGAACGTAATCTAAGCAGTGTACCAGTGTGTTCTTTAAACATGACTAAAATAAGTAATACGTGTCTTTACATTCCCAGTATGCTTCACAATGACCCTAAACTGAGAAGCACAGCTGAGGCAGCATTAATCAACCCTTTCTTCAGCATTCCCTTTGGTTTGTATGAATCCGCATCTAAAGCATTGCTACGTTGCCCAGTGTTTGGTGTTAACACTTTGTGAGTGAGGAACTGCTTTGGGTTTTAGCACCTCATATTGAAGATTTGGTTCTTCTGCCTACACCTGTCTTGAGACTACTAAATGTAATAGACGACAACCACCTGTATAATGAGGATGAGTATGAAGGTGAGTTTTTGTCTTTGTTTTCTTTATAATAAATATATTTTCACTATGGTTTCTTTAATTAGTAGGTCCCAAAGTGACATTTATTTCTTGGCTTTCTTAGATATAATAGAAGATATGAAAGAAGAATGTCAGAAGTATGGCAAGGTTGTATCCTTATTGATCCCAAAAGAGAATCCCGGCAAGGGACAGGTGAGCAAAATGGAATTTCAATAGTGAATGTGAATTTTTCTAGATATTCTCTTCACCTAATAATATCATTATAGCATTTATTTGCAATAAAGCATTTTATTGTCATCTCTATAAAATTGATATGAAAAAATATTCTTATCCAGCAACCATAAATGGCTCAAAGCCATGGAAATGTATTGTTCCAAAAGTGTGAGAACTCTGAAAATCACAATTTTTGGTTTATTTGAAAGTTTGACACGATTGAAAGCAATGATAACTTGCAGTTCATTAAGTCAGCCTGATGTTCATTCGATAACAATTCAGACAGAGGTTCATTCTGAGAAAGATTGGTGAGCAAAATGGAATTTCAATAGTGAATGTGAATTTTTTTTAGATATTCTCTTCACCTAATAATATCATTATAGCATTTATTTGCAATAAAGCATTTTATTGTGTCATCTCTATAAAATTGATATGAAAAAATATTCTTATCCAGCAACCATAAATGGCTCAAAGCCATGGAAATGTATTGTTCCAAAAGTGTGAGAACTCTGAAAATCACAATTTTTGGTTTATTTGAAAGTTTGACACGATTGAAAGCAATGATAACTTGCAGTTCATTAAGTCAGCCTGATGTTCATTCGATAACAATTCAGACAGAGGTTCATTCTGAGAAAGATTCATTAAATTGATTCAGACCGGTAACTTGAGTCATTTTGACACATTCATTTATAGAAACTCATAAGAGTTTATTCTTCTTTTAATTAGACTACACTGGTTACACTGTATGTATGTACACGACAATGCAATAGAAAGACTTATCTATTTATTGTTTTTGTATTTCATTGTTTGCAGTACTTAAAGGGGTGCTATTATGCTTTTTCACTTTTTCAACTTTAGTTAGTCTTTAATGTTGCTGTTTGAGCATAAAAAAGATCTGCAAAGTTACAAAGCTCAAAGTCCACTTCAAAAGGAGATATTTTATTTAACAGAAATCACTTTTTAAAAACTACAACGAACGACTCGTTTGGACTACAACGCATATTTTCTGGGATTTGTGATATCACAAATACAGACGAATGGGACGAGACCTGGTTGAGCTGCACTAGAGAAGGCAATGAGTGTTATCACTATGTCGGAGACACGCTAGCTTTCCCAAGGCAGACGAACTTAGAGTGGTTACAATCATCCGGGTTTAAATCGTGCTCAAATTGATTTGATTTTGACGCAATATTTACACTGAAGCTGGCAGGCGGCTATGGTAAGGGGCGTGTCATTTCCCGACCAGGCGCGCCGAGTGCTGCCAATCACAACACATTTCATATTTCAGAAGGCGGGCCTTCATTTGATACAGGAACTATTCGAGCCCTTCATGCCAGACTCGAACAACCGAGTATGAGAGCCTGTTCTAGTACACCCCAAAACAAAATCTAGACTTTGTAAAAGAGCATAATAGGACCCCTTTAATTATATATAAATTGAAATGTTAATATAATTAAATGAAAAATATTACAATTATTTTATTACTGTAATTTAATATTTACAAATGAAAAAGATAAGATTTAAAAAATGTATAGTTTCTCTGTAATTATTCTGTATTTACATACCATCATACCATGACCACCAACTTCACATTTATTTCTGTTTGAAAGCTCACAAAATACAATTTGTTTTGCCATTCTGATTCAGATTGGAGTGTGCAAGATACTTTGTCCAGTTTTGAAGATTTATTACTTATCTTGTCTTGGCAGGTGTTTGTGGAGTATGCAAATGCTGGAGACTCCAAAGAAGCCCAGAGACTGCTGACAGGCCGAATGTTTGATGACAAGTTCGTGGTCACTACGTTTTATCCACTGAGTGCCTATAAGAGAGGTTACTTATACCAAACTGTGCAGTAAAGCTGCACACACACCTCCATAAAAAACATTTAAATTACAATCGTGTGACTGCTTTTAAACCCTTGATCTGTGTATTATTCTATTGTGCTACCTTTAATACTTACTTGTGTCACTAAGATCAACATTGTTGTGAATATAGGCACACGTGCAATTTAACTTGGGTGGAACAAGGAGAAAAGTTTTAGTGCCTGCTTCCTACTTCCCTTTTTTACTAAATGATCACACCATAATAAGACAATTATATTTACCGTGTGATAGCTGGTTGCTAGACATTCAATACGTATGCTTTCATACTTTGTCATTTTGATTATTTAAATCTTTTTTTTATTGCAGTGGGGTTGATGCACTGCTTTGGTTTACACTGCCTTCTAAACAACAGATCACTTCAGAGACTAGGTTCACGTGCTTTTTAAATGTCTACGATTCCAAAAATGTGTAGTTTATGTGGCCTGTTCTCTTCCGTTCTTTTTTTTCCGTTGTTAGTTTTAGTGAAGTAAGTAGTAGGTATTTAGTAGGTATTTCCAGTAATTATGCACAAATTTATAAACTACTGGCTAAATGCACAGGCCTGCATGCACTGTGGCGTGGTTAACATTTATGTTCAACTTGACCATGAAAGCTGTTTAACCGCATTTAAACTGAAGATGGAAATCTGCAGAGAGAGCACAAAGACGACAGAGCGGGTAGCCTTATGCTATAGATCATTCTTAAGCAACTTTTATTTTATTTTTGCTTATTCAGGGTTGAATGGAATGAAACTCCATGTCCCAACACAAAAGCCACAATCTGTCTCATCCAAAACCTCTCTGTATATGTTTATTGAACATTATACTATCGCTTTAGAATTTTGAACTTGAATTCCAAAGTATAATATTAGTTTAAGTATAAATTGGGTCTGAAAACTCATCAAAAACATTTCAAGTGGACTTCTTTGGGAAATACTCAAGTGTTAAAATGTGTGGTATGTTGTGCAAAGCAATGTAACTCATACCTTCATAGCACACATATGTGAAGATTCAGAAGCAAATAATCTACTCTGTATCTTCATTAAGCTGGACTGCCCTGATGCGTTGATAAATAATGCTGTTGTAAAACTCACTTTACTATCAAAGATACAGTAACACAAATGTGTTTCAGAAAGGCTTAAAGCTAAAATGCTTTCTACAGACACGTTCAAGTCAATTGTATCTGCTGTTACTTATACCAAACTGTGCAGTAAAGCTGCACACACACCTCCATACAAAACATGTAAATTACAATCGTGTGACTGATTTAAACCCTTGATCTGTGTATTATTCTATTGTGCTACCTTTAATACTTACTTGTGTCACTAAGATCAACATTGTTGTGAATATAGGCACACGTGCAATTTAACTTGGGTGGAACAAGGAGAAAAGTTTTAGTGCCTGCTTCCTACTTCCCTTTTTTACTAAATGATCACACCATAATAAGACAATTATATTTACCGTGTGATAGCTGGTTGCTAGACATTCAATACGTATGCTTTCATACTTTGTCATTTTGATTATTTAAATCTTTTTTTTATTGCAGTGGGGTTGATGCACTGCTTTGGTTTACACTGCCTTCTAAACAACAGATCACTTCAGAGACTAGGTTCACGTGCTTTTTAAATGTCTACGATTCCAAAAATGTGTAGTTTATGTGGCCTGTTCTCTTCCGTTCTTTTTTTTCCGTTGTTAGTTTTAGTGAAGTAAGTAGTAGGTATTTAGTAGGTATTTCCAGTAATTATGCACATATTTATAAACTACTGGCTAAATGCACAGGCCTGCATGCACTGTGGCGTGGTTAACATTTATGTTCAACTTGACCATGAAAGCTGTTTAACCGCATTTAAACTGAAGATGGAAATCTGCAGAGAGAGCACAAAGACGACAGAGCGGGTAGCCTTATGCTATAGATCATTCTTAAGCGACTTTTATTTTATTTTTGCTTATTCAGGGTTGAATGGAATGAAACTCCATGTCCCAACACAAAAGCCACAATCTGTCTCATCCAAAACCTCTCTGTATATGTTTATTGAACATTATACTATCGCTTTAGAATTTTGAACTTGAATTCCAAAGTATAATATTAGTTTAAGTATAAATTGGGTCTGAAAACTCATCAAAAACATTTCAAGTGGACTTCTTTGGGAAATACTCAAGTGTTAAAATGTGTGGTATGTTGTGCAAAGCAATGTAACTCATACCTTCATAGCACACATATGTGAAGATTCAGAAGCAAATAATCTACTCTGTATCTTCATTAAGCTGGACTGCCCTGATGCGTTGATAAATAATGCTGTTGTAAAACTCACTTTACTATCAAAGATACAGTAACACAAATGTGTTTCAGAAAGGCTTAAAGCTAAAATGCTTTCTACAGACACGTTCAAGTCAATTGTATCTGCTGTTTGAATGGATTTTACTATCTGTACAATAATGATGAGTGATTTTAAAATCGTAACATTATTTAAAGGCTTTTCCAGTTGTGATAGGTATAGTGTTCCTGGTATCATTGTGTTTTCCAGTCCGTTTGTCTGTGATTGTATGATGTGGAGTCTTTAATAGTTCTACAGAGCTTTCTGACACGAGCAATTTTTCGGTAAGAGTGTTCTCATTTACTTCATGAATATCTCCTGATGGTTTTTTCAGTCATCCTGGTTGATTGTTTTTCTTTCTACCATCCAACGAATGGGCACTTTGGTTATGCATGTTCTGAGTGTGAGTCATTCCAGATCTGGGCTATTTACTTAAAATCTTTATCTGAGCATTGTAAAGAAATTGTGATTGATCTAGATTTTATACACTCATCTCTCTCTCTCTCTCTCTCTCTCTCTCTCTCTCTCTCTCTCACTCTCTCTCTCTTGCACATTAATGGTGATGACATTTGAAAGAAATTTTGCAGATGGTGAGCAAGAGATCTTTTAGGTCTATGTTGTTTATGAAACAGTGATTTTTTTTTATTATGTGAATACTGTGTAGGTCTAATGTTAGTCAAGGAAAATTGCTTACATGCATCAGAACATTAATGAAAAAGGGATTTTCTGTAATTTTATCAAATGCGAAGATTCCAGTTTTACAATCTAGCTTGATGTTGAAGTGAAGTCTTCTTAAATGGATGATGAAAAGATTCAAATTCATATAAGTGAATATTAGTGCATTTGACATAAATGTGACAACAGCAATAGTCAGTTTAAGTGCATATTGTGCCGGTGAGCCATCATTACTTAAATCCAGCCCGTTATTAATATAAATCCACAATAAAATAAAAAAATGATCAATTACTTTTTGCTCAAGCAATGTCATCGAAGCTGCTCAAATAGAGCCCTGAGGCCCCTTCTAACACTTTCGAAAAGCACAAATATTTCTTTTCATAATTAACTACTGCATAGAACCTGAGATGGGTGTCTGTCAGGGATCATTTCATGCTGCCTTAATTTTTTTGTATGCTGTAATAATATCAGTCAGTAAATGCTAGACCGTGAGAAAAGTGCCAAAATTGTTTCAAAGCCTTCCTTTTTTCCCCCTGCCACCAGCAACCCTGGAGAAATACCCAGGGAATCCATATATATATACCTTTATCTTGAATTGCATTTAAATACCTTTAGATGTGTCCAGAAACATGAAAATGTGTTCCAGTTGGATGCCAGAGATCATATGAACAGGAAGTGCTGGAGTTTGGCTGGCCTTTGTGTTTGTGTAGTGAATAATGAACCTCCCAAGAGGAAACACTGCAGGGTGTAACCACAGATGGACATGGGAGCTCTTTGGGCCTTATTAACTCGAGAAAGGTTGGAGAACTACATGGCAGCTTGAATGGTGAGAAAGATTTTGAGTTTGTTACTAATCAGGAATAGAGAAAATGCATGTGAACGTCCTTGTCTTCTAACGTCATATTTATGATCATAATTTCTTTTGTAACCCTTTTTAAAAATGTATTGGCTGCTTTTTTGGTTTCAATATTGCAATAAAGTCAAGTCATATCACACATATCTTATAGCATGCATATGACCTTTGAAGGAAAAGGGCAAGAGCTCACTTGACAGTACAGTACAGTCATTTAATGGGGAAGTGTGAACATATAAGGCAGCAAGGCGATAAGGTGACATGAATCATGTATAGATAATAAAATATAAGGGTATAGGTCACAATATGTGAATATGTGGCTTTGCTAAGGTGAAAAACAATCAAGAAAGTCTTGTATTATGGAAATCAGCCTTTTTCTGCAATGCATTGAAGGATCAGAGGTTTAGATGATTCTTCAAATCATTGTTCATCTGGATAATTGGAAAGCTGAGTAAACACAACCAGTTCTACTGTTTGCTGTGAAGTCATGGTAACATGCATGACTTCACAAAGGTATATAATGCATATAGTAACATGATCAAAATGTTTGTAGAAATAGTGTTTACAGTACATTTGTGGTACATAAGTGCATTACAGTGGTTGAAGTGCAGGGTTTATATGATCAAAGCGGTTAGGATAATGATGTGAATTCTGATGAAATGTCTCTCAGTGTTTTGTATGTAGATTCTATTTATGATTCTTCCCTTTAAAACATGTTTCTGTGCATTCATCTTTGCCAATGATTTCATTGTTACTGAAAATTCCTTCCAAAGCATTAAAAAAGTTTTACAGTCTGACCTTTAAATAGATATTTTGCAAATCTGTTAGTGTAGATGTTTAAAGTCTAAACCTCACTATGAATTTGGTAACAGGAGATTAAAATGGTAAATAATAATTGAATTACACACTGGAGGTGTGCTGGTGGCCTGCATTGCCATTATGTTGCTCCATATGCAGACAATCGTGTTCTTGTTAAACCTTCCTCGTTTCTGTCTTATTATCCCTGTGGCTGAGATGTGATTGGGCGAAAGATAATTCTTTGTGAAGCTCTGCCTTAAAGTCCACATTATATGTGGCAGGGAAAACAAACCTAAACTTGAATTTGAGCATGCTACAAAGTATAAAAATGATCTAATATTCAGTGTGAGGATGAGTGTTTTCTGTATTAGGGTAAAAAGATGTAGATGTCATTTGTAAAATGTAAGTTGAGCAGATGATGGTTCATTAAGGATCATGGGAGACTGTGACTTAAGAGCTCTGGATGGAATGAATAATATTCATGTTTCTCACAATAAAATGTTAATGTCTGTATCATGACCTTGTGTCTTTATTTCATGTTTTTTTTTTTCTGATTGGATGCTTCAACTTCTGAAGCAGAGCTATTCATGACAGAATCGTTTTATTTAAATTCAAATGAGAAATGTTACAATGTAAGTGACTTGGGAACCAACAATAGGGAACCAACATACACCCAGGCTACAGACCACTAGATGGCAGCTCTGCCTTTCAGACTTACAGTGTATTGCAACTGCCTTAAAAATGAGTAAGGTTATCGTGGAAGTGGATATCATTACTGAAAGTTAAGCAGATTTGCCACTAAATTTATGCACAGCTGTAAAAGCATGTAAGAATAATAGGTAACACTTAAAGCCTTTATATAAAATGTATTATAAAGAGTTATTACAGGGTAGAATGCTTTATAATTATTCATAATGTGCGTTATGATACATTATATCTTGTCGTAAACAATTATATCCGAATTTAAAATGCATAGTGTAACAAAGAATATATAGTGTAACTGTGGTTACAATTAATTAATTAAGGTGCATTATAATTGATGCATTAAAACGACTTTTATAATGCATTATACATAAAGGCTTTAAGTAAAGTGTTACCTAATAATTTATTAGTGTAAAATATCACATATCTGTCCAATAAGAACGCAACCAAAAGCTCTACATGTTGCATGTTACTCACCCTTTGCATGTTTATTAAATATTTTAGCTAATTTATTTGTCTTCAGCTACCACAGATATATTATTTACCATGTTTAAATCGATAATATCTAAGATATTTTTTAACCTTGAAATAAGAATCAAAATCTTTCTGATGGTGACTTAAGTTAAATGGCTTCTGTTTCTTTCCCACACTCCCATTAAAATCGTCGTTACTGGGAACGAAATTATGCGAAAAGGGCGGATTGCTTTACGGCAGCAACAAATGCAATTACACGGACTTAACTGTAGGGGGCTCTAAAGTCGTAAAAATACACAAAACTATATACAGTTGCTTTAAATACATTCTGTAGATTTTCCAACAAA